TGCCATTATTTATGTCCAGGGTACGCCTTCACCTGGAATGTTCTGTTCAGTTCTGGTCATCCTATCTCAAAATAAAAGCTGCAACAGAAACAGAGGGGGCTCAGAAATAGCTGACAAAATGATTAGTCCTGGAGAGAGATACTGGGGTTGTTTAGTTTTGAGAGGAGAAAATTAAGATTTGATCTGATAGATGTGTGTAGAGGGGAGGTAAATTAGGAGCTCTCTCATCATGTGAAGACAAGGGCCAGTCACTGAAATTGAAAGCCGATAAAAGGAAATAATTGTCTACACAATGCACATTCCGTGTTTGTACAGCACTTGGCACGATGGCATCCTGGTGCGTGATTGGAGCGCCTATGCACTATGGTAATAATAAATAATCCAGATAACCTGTGGAACTCACTGCCACCAGATATAATCAAGGCCAAGTGTTAGTAGGATTTTAAAATGTTTAGATCCTTTCACTGATAACGAGAATATCAATAGTTACATGATGGAGGACACAGTATTTATAAGGCATGCTTCACTGTGTAAGACTCAGTGACATTAATGCTGGTGGCATCCACCTCCTCGCCAGCATCTAGTGCCATTGTCTGCCAAGGATGATCATCCAGCGTGAGGGCCTGGCAACCTGGTTTACATTTGGAGTTCCAGCTCCTAGGCCGGCAGCCTACCAAGGCTGAAGAGCCGTCCTTGCCCTGAGCAGTCTGCCTTCTTTAAAGGTGCCAGACACTCGCCTTTCACACCCCCACTTTTCACAGAAACACCTCTGCCGCATGAATGCAAGTGACGGGGTGTCTGGCTGTCAGAGGCGATTGGTTTCACTCGCCATTTGGGGCACTTTATAGGAGCTGTGAGCTCATCCCCAGCCCAGCAATAACAGCCCCTTTCGGTTATTCCATAACTGTCCATTAAGGCATTCTTGCACCTTCTCTGGATGCATCTGGTACTGGCCACCGAGAGAGAGAGAGATCTCTGGTCCGATCCAGCCTGGCAATTCCTACGTTCTGCCGTCACAGCTCTGAAACTTCCTAAATAATGTTTTGAGTGTGTTCAGAAGGGTGATTGTTGCTAAATGTGCTATGTTTCCTTCTTAGAATGACATTCCAGGCCCAGGATTCTATAACGTCGTTCACCAGTCTGCGGAGATTAACAGCACCTCACTGTCGAAGAAGGGAACGGGCTACTTTCCTTCCATGGTAAGGGAAAGGGGTTGTATATTTCAGAGCCTGATCCACAGCCCATTAGTAAATTAGGCCTAGATCTTCAAAGGTATTTAAGTGCCTAACTCCCACTGAAATTAATGGGAGTTAATTTAATTTAATTTCCCATTAATTTCAATGGGAGTTAGGCACTTAAATACCTTTGAGGATCTGGGCCTAAAGGATTTTCTATTGACTTCTATTGCATCAGGCCTTTAATGATCACATCTTACTTTTCATCCCTTGCTGCCTAAATTTAGGGCACCTCAAGTCAGAGTCTTCAATTGGGGTTAATTATCTAAATGCCCCGAAGGATCTGGATACAATAGGGGTGGGGCACCTTACAAACACTGGAAGACATTGCTATAATTAAGGCTGAATTCCATCCTCCATTCTAACCTTCTTTTTCAGTTGCTCATATAACTTTTAAAACAAATTCCTCTGGGGCTAAAATTTTCTAAGCTTGATCTCAATCCAAAGGTGATTTTTGTTCCTTTGCAGTAGAAAAGTGGAGCAAAATTGGCTGAGCTGTGTTTGATTTATGGAAGTGTGAAGAAACCCCCCCCACATTTCCCCCGCATGTGGGCTAACTGGAAATGTTGCCCTCGCCCTAGCTTGAAAATGGCTAAAGCTAGTGACAACAAAGTCAGTTCTTCTATAAATCTCAGTGAGTTACAAATCATAAGCCGAGTTAGAAGAAAATCTTCTCAGTCCTTTGAATGCTCTGATCGCTGAACACCGATAATTTTGCACAGAATTCTAAACCCATTTTCAAACCATCACAGTGGAGGATAATCTCGTGCACGGACAAAGCGTGCTTCTTCTCCCAGTGAAGCCAATGGGAATTAATGGTGCTCGGCACCTCACTGGCAGGATCAGACCCCTTGCAATGGGACTCCCAACCATTCATGCAATGTAGTGGGGTTCTGCTGTATGTAAAATACAAAGGATATTCCCTACCCAGTTCTAACAATATGTAAAAGACCAGAGGTCTAAGACTGGATCCAAGCTGTTCACCCGTCTCCCTCCAGCACTGCTGCTCAGTTGCTACTGATGTCTTTGATTTGTCTCTTTCCAGGATGCTCGTCTCCCACACAACAGAAAACCCAGCTACCCTGCCGCAAACGCCTACAACCTCTCGTTGGCATTTCAATCCAAGCAAGACTTCAGCACGGGAAACTCCAGTATGTTTCAGCAACCAATCGCTAAGAGGAGAGCGCAAACCTCCACCCCAGCGCCCAACCAATACAACGTAAGGGGCAAACACCAGGAGGTTAAAGCCAATGTAAAACTAACTTTAAGTGCTATATGGGGAATTATATGGAAACCATTGTACTGTGTTTAATCCTGTGTGGACCAGAGCATGGCTGGCCCAGCAAGGGTGGGCAGGGAGAGGAGAGGGCGTTTCTCCTTGTGCACCTGTGGCTTCCTCCTGCTCCATTGAAGTCAGTGAGAGTTTTGCCATTTTTCTTCACTGAAAGCAGATCAGACCCGTGCAAGAAGCCGCCTCAGTCACCATGAATCCAGAGCACATGGGTCACTGAGGCAGCCAGGATCTGCCACTGCAGCAACCCTCTGTCTTCCCACCTGTGGTGTCGAAAGACCCCACAGGATCCTTTGGGTAAAATCCTGGCTTCGCTGACTTCAACAGGAATGTTGCGGCTGCCTTCAATGCAGCCAGGATTTCACATTTGATGTTTTATTTCTAAGAGATGGGTGGTCTGGTGGTTGAAACACAGGGCTGGAAATCAGAGGCCAGATCCTCCACGGATGTAAATCGGCGTAGCTCCACTGACTCGCATGGTGCGCTGCCAGTTGAGGATCTGGCCTTGAGGTTCTATTCCTGATTCTGTGTGATCTTGAGTAAGGCACTAACCTTTCTGTGCCTCCTCCTCCCCCCATCTGTCACATGCTTCACTGGGGTGTTGTAAGTCTTACTCCATGAATGTTTGCAAAGTGCTTTGAGACTCTTGAAAGGAAGCTGTTAAAGAAATGTGAAGTATTATGAATAGCTGCCTATCCAAATATTATAGCTATTGGTCATGGATTTCACTGTTACCTCTGTGCTTTGCCAGTACTGAATTATTTGTCAGCTGTCAGATCATTGTTACTTTAACTCATTCTCTCTGTCATTTTTTCTGCAAACCATGTCTGCTGTAGTTCCCTGAGTGTCTGTCACTTAGCACAAGAATCTCTTATATTGACACAATGCTCTTTTCACACTAAATACTCACTTCAAGTGTGATAAACATCCAGTGGGATGCTGGGGTGGAATGTGTCTTGTCTCCAAGCACACAGTAACACCGTGCAACAGTTTAGGCCAGTGAGTGAAGAAGAAAACTGTAGCCGACTGAAACTGCAAAGGAGTTTTAGGTTGTTTATGCAACATATAATGACATTTGAATTTGGCCAGGACACTGTAGTTAACTCCACTACTCCAGTAAGAAGAGCCAGAGGACTGTTAATGGCAGTAGCTGGTCAGGATCATCCTGTCTTGTTGTTATTTATATTACAAATAGCGCCTAAAGACTGAGTCCCCAATTTGCTAGTTGCTGTCCATACACGTAGTAAGCCTGAGTCCCTGCACCTAATTTACCATCTAAGTAGACAAGACAGACCGAGGGCGAATGGAAATATTATCCCCATCTTACAGGTGGGGAGCTGAAGCACAGAGGTAATAAATGACTTTCCTAAGATCACACAAGAAGTCTGTGGCAGAACTGGGAATCCAGCTCTCTTGAGTCCCAATCCAATGCCTTAACCGTACACCATCCTTCTTGGAAAGACAGCCCTTCCGCAGCACAGCCGCTGTGCTGGGGCGTTGGTTAAGAATTCACTTAAAGCGATGAGTCCTACGCACAGAATCACTCAAAGCATTTCCTCCCTTTTCCTTGGTTGTCTCCCACGCAGGTAGCAACCACGCTTGATTCTCCTCCATGCATTAGACGTGACTAACTCCCCACTTAAGGTGGCACAGCTGTAGGTTCGAAATGAGTTTCCATTTATAGGCTCGGACAGAATCAATGATCATGTGTCTTCATTGTTCATAAAGGGATCAAATCCTCAGCTGGTGTAAACCAACACAGCTCCACTGACTTAACGGGATTTGGGTGATTCTGTACCCTGCCCCCCTTTTCTCTGAGTGAATTCTGAACCAATGCACCAGTATAGGGACTGTGCTGTTGTGGAAAGGCCGACTTTCCCAAAGATGGCCTCTGGTTAAGACACTGGACTTTGTTACAATGCCTTCCAGCTACGAGAATCTGCCTCAACAAGTTTTCTGTTGTTTAAGCTAGTTTGCAGGTCATAATTATTTGACATATCACAGTATAATGGGTTCGTAGCATGTTATTTCTAACATTGTAAGAATTTGCTTCTGGGAATAACCTTCCTGGATTAATTACTGTCTTGTGATTTACTGTAAGGGATTGTGTCTAACCTTCAAGAAGCACAACAGGAAACAATCCATTTAAAAGATGGCACTGCTTGATAATTTATGACCGTAGGCAAAGAGACAGTCTGGGAAGAAACAGAGGGCCCGATCCTGTACACAGGCAAAACGCCCACTAAAGTCAACAGGAGTTTTTCCTTAAGACTGCAAATCAGGCCTTAGGTGTAATCTCAGCTGAAATGAATAAGTGTTGATAAAACCCAGCCTTGCAACAGAAAATAAAGCTGATGTAGTGTCCCAAACTGTATGGAATAATGTTTTCAGTGTATGGGCCATATTCAGCCAATCACAACATGTGGTGTACATCATCCAGTGCATTAAACGCCCCAATAACAACTATGTGGGTGAACCCAGACAATCACTATACTCTTGAATGAACTCACAGGGGGAAAATGATAAAAGACAAAACACCACATCACCGGTGGGCGAACACTTTTCTCACAATGCTCACTCTACCTCTGACCTCTCAGCACTCATCCACAAAGGAAATCTGCAACCACCTTCAAAAGACAAGCCTTGGAGCTTAAATTCATAACTTTGCTAGACACTAAAAATCATGGTCTGAAGAGAGATGCTGGATTTATGGCTTATTAAAACAATCTATAACCCACTAACAACCCCTGCCCCAGCTGTCTTTCCCCCCTATGACTGGAGGGGTGTTACGTGGCCACTTCACCTTGAATAGTCCCTTGAAATACGTGTTAACTACTCATGCTTAACAATCTGTTCACCTTGAATTTAGTTGTGACACTCTGAGGGGCTTGTCTACATGTACAGGGGCCCAGCTGTAGCGCTTTAGTGAAGACACAACTACGCCAACAGGAGAGCTTCTCCCCAGCGTAGTTAACCCACCTCTCCAAGAGGCGGTAGCTATGTTGACGGTAGAAGCTCTCCTGTTAACATAGTGCTGTCTACACAGGGTGCGGGGTTAGGTCAGTATAAATGTGGATTTTTCACACCCCTGAGTGACGTAGTTATCCCAATATAGGGGTCTAGTGTAGACCTGGCCTGAGTACATTTCCCAGCCCTGAAGAAGAACTCTGTGTCAGCTCAAAAACTGGTCTCTCTCACCAACAGAAGTTGGTCCAATAAAAGATATTCTCTCCCCCACCTTGTCTCTCTAATATCCTGGGAGCAACACAGCTACCCCACCACTGCATAGAACAACGTATTTTTTTCAGACTGTTGAAATTCAATTGATCTCCCTTTTGCAGAACTATGTACACAGCAGGTCTAATCCAATGCCCATTTAAATCAATCGGATTCCACTGGATGGAGCAGCCTGGTAAAGTTAGCTTGATCCAATTGAAGTCGATGGGAATTTTGCCATTGGCTTTGAGGCATGCAGGATTAACCCCTAAATGATAGACTTGATCTCTTTGAAGAGTGATTTTGGGCTGGGTAGAAAACTAGAGGCTACATTTTTGTCATTCTAGCCTACCCTGAAGGGCAAAGTTGCAAGAGTTTGTTTATGCTCTTACAGGTGCTATCATGCAGATTACCCTTTGGATGTACTGGAAGCACTACTTCAAACTCCATGCTTGATTTGGTCATTTGAATGGTGCCGGGCACTTTAAGATCAAGCTGGTGCTGCAAAGACTGGCAGCAGCAACCAAACAAATACAGCCAAGTTTTTCGGTGGGAGCTGGCGGTCCACAGCACCTCTGATAATAAGCCCTCACAAGTTGGGCAATCAGAAACTGAGACACAGAAAACCAGTGAGCTCTCCTGAAAATTTGGCCCCAATATTGCATACATTTGTATCATTAGAGCAGTTCTGATTCACGATGGAGACTGGATCTAAAAAAACGTAGTTTTTGTTACGTTAGTAAATACCCAAGAGGAAAGTCAATTCAAAGGAATTCACGGAGACTTCATTTTGTACAGGCCTGTCTAGATTTCTGCAAGCAAAGCAACAACGTGTGTGCCCGGGCGGTGTTTTTGTCCAAAACGACAAGAGGATTAAGCACTGATAAAACAGAAAAATGGCCTTCTCCGTGTAAGTGAGCTGTTGAGATGGGAGGAAAGGCCTCACTTGTGAGTCTGAGTCGGATCTTATCAGACGCTCACCGCCATCACTGAAATCCATGGCTATCCAGGCACTCAGTGTATCACAGGGGTTGCTCAGCACCTTGCTGGTTTGAGCCCGTTATGACATTTTGCATAGGTGAAGGGGCATTAGGAGGTGACACTTCTAAGTTCTAAGGGATGGGCCCTGGGAATTATTACAAAAGCACCCATCCAGATATAGTCACACCCGTGGTAGATTTATGGAACTTAGGGGAATTGCCAGAACATACTTGGGCTCCCTGCAGGGTGCCAGGGGCTCAGGGAGTGGTGTGACGTAGCACACCATAATACACCTAAATCTGTCGTGCTACCATAGAAGGAAACTTCTTCCTGGCCACACTGCCTCATTAAGTTTATACCCTGAAGCATGAGGGTGGTTGGCTCTAGTCATGTTTACATTAGGTGGCGTCACTGCAAGTGATGTTCACAGTCAACATCTCTTCTGTTTTTTTAATTGCTAATTTTCCTACCTGTACGTCCTCCCTGGATGCTCCTTTGTTCAGGATTAAGTCGCTAGAGTAGTCACTCGTCTTCTGTGCCCCGGGGTAAGCTGCTCCAGGAAGCAATTTGTATCATCTCAAGAAATGCTTCCCCCCCCCCCAAAACGCCCAGTTGTGCTGTTTCCTTTTACCTCTGTTACTTTCATTGACTCATGCCCCTTTCTGCCTGCCCTAGTGCAATAGTTGAGGCATGGTTTGGTTTTTACATCCCTTTTCTTGTCGTGTTATTAGGCCATTACAGAATCAATGAATCCCTCGTCAAGAAGTCCCCCAGGATTCTAGTGTCTTGCTTCAGATCAAATACTCATCGCGAAACAAAGGTGAACACAGTAAGCCCAGGGCCTGCAGCGTATCAGCTAAGCAAACCCCCTAAAGCAGCAAAGAAGACGCCTTCCACGTGAGTCCTAACCTGTATGCTTTCTCACTGCCAGTCGTTGCTTGTGAACACATCAGATTGCAGGAGAGTCCAGCAGCCGCAGCAGAAGAGCTCACAGCTGGCTCTCTGCAAAGCTCTTCCACCGTATCACAGTCAAGCCTGTACTCGGTTGCCTCTGTTGCCATTGGTTTACAGATGGGGCAAAAGATGGCTCCCTGGGGAAGTGAAAGATCAGGCTGCTTTGCCTGAAAGGAGAGGTGGGCTGATAACACTGAAAAGCAAAATACACAAACTGTTATCCATACCGCACAACCACTGTGCAGTAGGTATGATACATGATCCCCATTTTACAGATGGGAAAACCGAGGCAAACGTGACCCAGTGGCAGAACAGGAAATAGACCCCACATCTCTGTTTGGATAAAGCTTAGATGCTTCTCTGAGCTTCACGGAGTCTGCAAAACTGAGGTGGACAACAGGCCTTCCTGCAAGGTTTCAAGCACTTGCTCCTCCAGTTCAGGCCAAAGCAGAATAAAGGAAGAAAAGGAAAAGCTCCTTTCTTTCCCCTTTGGCATCATTCTGGAAAGGCAGATAAATCTGCCTATCGGCAGGTTATTCAAGTAGATTTATTATGACCACCCAGTGACAGTGACATTGGTTTGCCTGAGATAAGATTAAGATCAACAGTAAATTCTTGACCAGGGAAAGGTATGAGGAGTATATGGGCAAGTCTGCAGCTATCTGCACACAGGCAGGTGCATCTTACAACAGAGGTTTTGTAAAAGAAGTGGAAAGCTGTAGGGAGAGAGAATTAACGTCAGACAGCGTGTGCTAAACACCGAGGGCTAAATTAAACCTCAACCATCAATCTCCATGATCAGCAACTGTCAGAACGATCCGTGTCCAGATGCCCAAGTTAGGTTGTGTCCACACTACACACCACTGGTGGCAGAGTGTCGCTACACACTCCAGTGAAAAGCAAAAGTTACAGTCTGTAGCTACACGGGTTAGTGAAAGGGGCTGGCAGGGGAGGGGCAGGGGTGAAAGGCTCCAGCAGCAGGATGCTACCGTGCTAAAAACAGAGGTGTAGATGGGGAGGGATGGTGTGGGTCAAGAGAGAGCCAGGTAGGGGATGGACGTGAGTCCATAACCACACCCTTCAGGTGTGTCTTTACTCACCAAAGCTGTGCCTCATGGTCTCTGCTATTTATATCTGTGCTAAGGGCTACACATGTATGGTCCCTTAGAGACCGATCCAGCTCCCATTTAAGGCACTGATTTATGCATATGAGGCCACATACTCGGCTGGAAAAAACTGGCACAGCTCCATTGACTTCAGGGGAACCACCCTGATTTACACCAGCTGAGCATTTGGCCCTTGCTCTCAATGGCAGCAGGATCGGGCCCGTCATCGGGTCAATATATTTTGCAATAAAGTGAAGAGGCTTGGTGCGCGGCTTTGTACATGTACCCAGCTTTGCAAAGCACGGGATCCGAGAGGAGCTTTTCTAGGTCATTCTTTAAAGCTGTTAGGATCATTTGAAAATCACAGCTATGTGATTTGAGCATTTACCACCTATTGAATTTCAATGAAATGTCAGCACCTAACACCATTAGACATCACAGCTTTTATGCTCAAACGTCAACCCCCATCAATTTACAATGTATCTCAATTCTCTTTTCTTCTAATAGGCGAAAGCAAAACTTGAATTTCTCTGCCCCCGCCATACCACCAGCTAAAAATCCCCCTTTGCCTGGACCAGGGCAGTATGAAATAGTGGACTACCAAGGCCCACCAAAGCATTACATCTCTAGTGCTGTATTTGTCTCAAACACGGGACGGTGGAGAGGGGACACATCTCAGCAAGGGATGCCTGGGCCAGGTAAAAATAAAAATATTCATAAATACTTTGTATTTACATAGAGCTTAAAGCACTTTCCATAACTGATTAAGCAGTATTATCGACCTTTTTACAGATAGGGAAACTGAGGCACGAAAAGGCTAAGGGTCAGATGTACAACAGTATCTAGGCACCTAAAGATGCAGACAAGTGCCTTACTGGGATTTACCAAAATGTCTAAGTGAGTTGGGCACCTAACCTACTTAGGAGCTGTTATTAAATCCGATTAGGCACCTATCAGCGTCTTTAGGCACCTAACTTCTTTCGTAAACATGGGGCTAAGTGACTTGTCCAAGGTTACACAGAGATTCAGTGTCAGAACTGGGAATAAAAACGAAATCTCCTGACTCCCAGCCCTGCGGTCGGACCACTAGACCATTTGTTTAAAATATTTTGAGAAAAGCATAGATGTTTGCACTGCGATTGCCATTCAAGTATCGCCAACTGTCAGCATGTTTGACAAACAGCTTATGGGAGTTACGTTGTATTTGGAAAACTACCATTCAACTCTTGTTATTACAACCAAAGTTTTGCCTGTGCTGCCTTAAAGCCCTGTGTGGGCGGGGTGGGAGGGAGCAGTTAGAGGAGAAGGAAGAAAACTGACTCATGAAACTGCAAAGTGTTTGCTTACACAGCCCTGAATCTCCTCTGCCTTACGCCACCTTGATACTGGTCTAACTCTGACACTGGGGTAACTCCGCTGAGTCCAGGGCAGTTGCTCCTGATTTACATCAGCATATGTGGGAGACGAAGCAGGTCCCATAATTGTATCCAGAAAATGCTTGGAGAAGGTGGAAGGAGGGACCTACTCACAGAGACTCATGGGTTAAACGTACTAACGTTTCCATGAGCGCTTTGTTCTAATTACCTACCAGTATATCCAGTGTGCATGTAGACTGTGTAGACCTTACTCCCACACGCAGTCCCACTGTAGCCAAAGGGCCTGCTTACCTCACTGTGTGCTCAGCAATGTAGGTAGGGTGACCAGATGTCCTGATTTTATAGGGACAGTCCTGATTTTTGGAGCTTTTTCTTACATAGGCACCTATTACCCCCCACCCCTGTCCTGATTTTTCACACTTGCTATCTGGTCACCCTAAATGTAGGGGATCCAAATCTGGCCCTTTTGATGTTAAGATTGCTAACATACAGGGGACAGAAGGGCCAGATCCTGTCACCATTTCCGGACGTTGAGTAGTTCCTTACTCTGCAAGTGCGTGCGGAGTAGGGAACTGCTGAGGGTGAGCAAGGCTGGTGGAATCTGGCCCCGAGTTCCCTGTGTGCCATTAATAATTGCCATGAGTAACACTATTTTCATACAGTGAGCAAGTTAGGTGTATTCGAGGAAGTAAACAATACAAGAAACATGAGCTTAAGTCCCTCTGACAGATGAATGCCTGGTTTGGAAAGCAGACAATAGCAATTTTGCTGTTATTTACAGCATATGATTTTATTCATCTGTAGAATTTGTACAGCCACAGAGTGTTGGGGAATGTCATACCAGGCTAAAACAGGGCCATCATTTCCCCCAGGGGTCTTGTGGCAGCAGAAACAGAGGGACCGATTCTATTAAAGGATTGCATGATAACCATTGTCCATATTACATCTCAAACGCTGAGCATGCCAAGTGCTTGGGCATAAATGCTGATGTCCCTAAATACTGGTCCACTTATTAGATGTTGGGCCAGATTCTCAGCTGGTGTCAATTGATGCACCTTAACTGAAGCAAATGAAGCTATGCTAAGTTACACCTACCAAGGATCCGGCCCAGAGTCTCCCAGGATGGTTAAAAATGAATTAAAGATGAAGCAGAGGAAGTGAGTGGGGCTAGAAATCCTTACAACAGAAGGTAGTAAAAGAGTCTAAAGTTTTTCCTTCCCATAGTATTAAATTGAAAACCCTGCACATGCATTGTTAACTTGTGAAAAGTCAGGACCTCTCCCATAATCACAAATCCACTCAACCCTGCCAGCTTCCTTTCTGGCATTAGAAAAGATCAAATCCCATTCTTTTTAACCTTTTACCGCTAGCTCTGAAGACACAAAAGAAACTTCATTGGGGAAAATTTCCCTGCAATGAAATCTAAAGTAACGTTAGCCCATGTGCACTATTAACATATAATGCAAAATCGCTCCGTCCTGTATGACTTGCATGTAATACAGATCTGCAGTGCTGGGCATGTACTTTGTAGGGAACAATGACATCAGAATAAGAACAATCTAAATTAAATTTGTAGGCTTATATTATTGCAGTAGCCATATTAAAGGATGGTTGGATACCAAGTATCGGTTGTCTGGATTTTAGGACGCCAGATATTTAATAATATTTCCAGGGTTTCTGGTTTATCATTTAACCTAAAAGCCACCGATAAAGATACAATCAGTCAATACAAAAAACAATCACGCTGAACTTTGTATCATGTTAAATATTAAAGAAAGGTCCAAGCGCAGGATCTGAGCCAAACTTTGGAACTAGATCCCAATGTCCTAGCCCAGACCTGTCTCTAATTGCCACGAACGTTAATAAGGATATTAACGAAAGCAGGGCTTGCCCATACCTCCGTACTGTAACAGCGGAGACACGCATATTAGCAAAGGCCCAGGAGGCTAAGACGGCTCGCTTTTATCTCACTGAACTGACATGTTGTCATACAAATTTGAGGCGATACTCAAGGAGGAAAAAAAGGTCTTGCTGCCTTCACTAAACCTTTCGACACTATGGGCCGCCTTTGGCTGGCTTCACTATCTAAGGTGCGTATATGACCCCCATTACCATAGTATCTGAGCGCCTCACAAGCTTTTATGTATTTATCCTCACAGCTCCCCTGTGGGGTAGGGAAGTGCTGTTATTCCCATTGTATTGATGGGAAACGCAGGCAGAGAGAGACTGAAGCCCACTTCCTTAAAGGTTGATTGTTCAGTGGGAGTTAGGCACCTAAATACTAATCTGGGCCTAAGTGACTTGGCCAAGGTCATACAAGAAATCTGTGGCAGAGCAGGGAAACTAGCATTCTCTCCTCTCATCTCCTTTACTCACGCTGAGTATGTCCTTACTCCTCATGTAGTACCATTGATTTCAATGGCAGAGCTAGGTATGAATAAAGGTATAGGAATCTGGCCATTATTTTATTACCAATTAAAGATGCTTTATGCAGCCAATGAAAAATACAGCCAAGGGTTTATCGCCCTTTATCTTATCCCCCCGCCCCCAGCAAACAAGACACCATAGTTCCTCATTAGTCAATAATCTGAAATTTGCATTTAGCTCTTTTCTGTATCTTTCTCGTTATAGGTACTTATCTGCCAGAAGTACCAGGGAAGCAGTCCTTTATCTACAACATTGATAACAAGTGGATTCCAGTACTGTAGACATCAGAGCCCCCATATTTTGGAGAAATTCTGCAAAGACTGGACTTCATTCAAAACTAGCACTGCATCCGCTAACGCATAGGCAAGCTATAGTGTCCCCGGCCCCCATGTTTTAACTGTCCTTATAGTCTGGTATCTGATACTGGTGTTTTGCACATATTGCAAACTGAAAGGTGATCATTAGGCTGAAATTGATCTAAGATCGTCCAATTAAGTTGACATTGAACAATTCATGCAAATATTGTTTGATTCTTTTTTACCCTATGTAATTAGTGGTCATGTATCTTTGGCACTGATAAATTCTGGTCATATATCGGCCAATCACGTGAAATACAGTATACTTGCGATAATCTATATCTTGCTTTTTATCCCCAGTTGTCTTGGTTAGAGCTGTGGTTCCCCTGAGCCTCCATTTAGACCTCTGGCTTTTAGAATGCATGTGTGCTGCTGGATTAGGTGCACTCTCTCCCTGTAAACACAAAATAAATCTGGGTGTGTCCTAGTCCTGACAATAATACAAATAAATAATAATAATAATAATAATAGCAGCATGTGTGGAGCAGTCTCAACTAATCAACAACAACAACAAAAGGAGGTGGGAGTAGGAGCAGCTGTCCAATACTGAGCATTTGATCAGAAGTTTGGAAATGCACCTGTCTGTCTTCACCTGTTTCTCCTCTTACTCGCACAGTCATAAATCAGAAAAACTCCACTGAAGTCAATGAAGATATGCAGATTTACTCCAGCTCAGAGGCTGGCCCCAAAAGGGCCCCATTTGCTACCCACTTTGCACTGATGTAAATGACAGCATACGCGGCAGCATAATGGCCAGGCTGCCCCATGCTACCCTGGCCCAGTGTCTTGTAAGTTTCATCTCCAGCAAAGCCCTGGGCAGTCTGGGATTTTAGGAGATCACATTTCCCATAGCAACAGACAAACTACATGTAAATAAACCTACACTGACATGACATTAGGGTGAGGAGGGCAGATGAAAGAGACATGGAATTGAAAGATACAAGGGAAAGCAATGGAAGTGACAACACTCTCATTGGAGTGGGAGACTGACCTTGTCCTAGCGGATGGTACAGATAGCTAGCTCAGTGGCGTTCAGGATTGGGGCACATTGGGAGGGCAATACGGGGAAAAGCTTGCATTTCTGTGATGTTCCTTCTCTGAGGACAGAGCACGTCAATTTGTCCTGCAGCCAGGTCTTGGCATGTGTCAGTGTGATGCACTTGCAGAATTTGTGCAACGTAAGCAGCAAGCTTTCAAAATGAATAGACAGCTGTGGGTGCATTTTTCTGATCGGGAAGTGAGGATAAGTCAAACACTTTGGAATTAATTGGTTTGGTTTTTGTTTAAGTCAGTACAAACCAGCCATCAACTGGACCTAGCAGAATATTGCTTCAGTGGAAGCTTCTCTCATTCATCATCATGAACTCCAGGCAAACACAAGTGGGTTCATACTTTCACATGACCTTTATCCACCCTCAGGACTTGCTGCCCCAGAGCCTCTTCGGTTGCCCTTTAATCTTCTCAAGGTGCTGGTGGGCTCCGGGTGACGAGTCAAGAATGCTCTTGCATGCTTGTGAGCTGTGCTTTCACACAAGCTGTATGGCAACTCGCCTTTGCTGGAAGGGATGAACCGATACTGAGCACGCCAGCGAAACACCCACCCTGGGCAGGGCGGGGACGGAGGGGGGGGGCTGGGTTTGCTCTCACGCTGATGTGAATCAGCTGGCATTTGCTGAAATCAGTGGCGTTTCCTCGATATGAAGCGGGTATGAGATCAGGATGAAGGCAGGTTCACAGTTTGCTTGCATCAAAATAGGCTCCTGATCCTCCACGGCCCTACACCTTGTGTGGCCACTTAGCCCAGTGCAAAGAGAGTGTGAAATGGGACCGCTCAGAATGGTGGAGCTTTGCGCTGCCCTCGTGCAAAGGGCTGCAGCAGCTCCAGAAGAAACAGTTCCCACCTGGCAAAACTCCAGGCCGGATTCCCAGCTGGTGCAAAGTGGCACAATGCCATCCAATTGCTTGCGACCGGATTCTGCTCGCGCACTGGTGAAAAGCACAAGGAACCCCACTGAAGTCCATGGAATTGCACTGGTGTGAAGAAGAGAATCAGATCCAAGGGCAGATTCATCCCTGACGTAACTGCATTACTTCAATGGATTTACACCATGGGTACATTTGACTCCTAGTCTCAATTCACCTGCCATAGGCATGGGCATAGCCACTTCCCACCATTCTCTCCCCCCCCACACACACTGAAAAATGGCTCTACCCTTTCCTCTGTGCCATCCTGGGCTGCAGGGGTACACCTCCACGTGCCCACTGCCAGTCCCAGAGCTGAGCGAGAAGACGGGCGATAAGGAAACACGATACACTCAGAGGGTGGGCAAAACTGGATTTTCCAGCAGAGCAACTGACTCACTGAGGGATTTGTGATAATCACAGAAACCTCGCAACATTATGGGTGGGAAATAGAGCCATGTGCAGCCTCCGGAAATCTGTACTGCGCCTCTCAGCCCTGCCCCTAACCTGATCAGGCAACTTCTCTGCAGGCTCTGAAACCTCTGACCCCCCTTCCACTGCCTCTGCTCCCCTGAGCTGCACAGGGGTGTATCCCCTGCCCCCCTCCACAGGTGATGGCAGCTATTGAGAATGGGCGACCAGACAGCAAGTGTGAATAAGTCGGACGGGGGGGGGGTAATAGGAGCCTATATAAGAAAAAGACCCCAAAATCGGGACTGTCCCTATAAAATCAGGACATCTGGTCTCCCTACTCACGTCGCCAGTGGAAACGGAAGGAAGACGGTAACCACTAAACTAGAATTAAGGCAGGAGAGTCAGTACTTGAGGCTCTTTCATGGCCACAGGAAACGTTCATTGAGACCCAGCGTTAACGCTGACAATCTCTGACCCAGGGAGCACGGCGCGCTCCGGCACCTGGCTGCCCATTTTCCATGGTTCTGCCTGTTGTTACTGACGATCTGCATTCTGGTGCCCCCTGAGTCAGGGAAGAGACAGCGCCTACCCTGAACAACCAACAGGCCAAATTAATCCCTGGGATAATGGAACCAATAATCCGAGAGTCCACGGCCTCCTCCCCATACACTTCCCCCCCTCACACGCACACTCCTGCCTAGCCCACAGTGTGTGTGTGTCTGCCCAGCCCCCCAGCGCCCCAAACTGCCAGAAGCTTAGTGGAAATCAATTGGGCATTTACTTTTTTTTTTTAATGCTTAGTTCTTCTATGGCATTTTCCAGCTATGAGGCCAAGCAGCCATTTCCAAAGGCGGGATTAATGCTCAGTCCCTCTTTACAGGTGGGGAAACTGAGGCAACTAAGCCAGGAAGTAACTTGCCCAAGGTCATGTGGTAAGGGAAGTGACTTGCCCAAGGTCATGTGGTGAGTTATGGGCAGAGCCAGGCATAGAACCCAGGAGTCCTGACTCCCTGTCTGGTAACCAGGATCCACAGAAAGACGTTGCAGAGCTTTAGAAACCTAGTAGATGGGCTAGGGAGGATTTATTCTAGATTCCTCCAGATCCCCCCTTGTGCCCCTCTTTTCCCACCACTCCCCCACTTCCCCCTCATCCCTCTCCCCCGCTGCCCCCTTTAATGCTCCACTCCTAACTCA